ACTTGAGTGATATGATCAATTGTCAATTGATTTTGATTACGATACATCACTTAAGTGTAAGGTTATATCTATTCAAATATAACTCTCATTCATTTTACATTAAATGCTCACATTGTTAATATTTATGATGTTTGAACCTTGGATTTTAAGGAATAACAACAATTCTTTTATCACTGAGATTATTCGATTCGTGCATAAATTAACGATTACATTTTAACCTCCTCTGACCATTTATAATCCCCCTCCTACCTTAAGGGTGCGTTTGGATGGGGGAAAATAAGATTATCGGGGGTGGAAGTTATTTCCAGAATGTGATACCCATGTTCGGATTGCAAAAATTCCTAATAAGGGGTAATAAGACATTCCCAACAGTGACATTTTGAGAGTTTATTACCGGGAATGTCATTCCCCCAATCCCTTAGATATTAATCTTTTTCCATGACTTTGGACTAAAATACCTTTAAAATAATTTTTCCCCAAAATTATCCTTCTCGTAACCATTGAATAAAAAAATTCTACGAAAAGTAAATTACAAATTTATCCTTAAACTATTTGAGATCCACAAAAAATCCACAATTAAAATTTTATATGAAGTTCAGGAGTTAAAATAAAAGTAAATCTTTCATTAAAGTAATTTATCTTTTAAATTTTATAAAAAAATTATATAAATTTTATGAATTTAAAGTTTTTAAAGAAAATATATAAATTAAAAATAATAAAATAATATATTTTCTATGATATTTTATACAAGTATTTCTTTTGAATATTTAGAATTCAACTTGTTTAAAAAACAAATATATAACAATAAAATTTTGATAAAATATAAATTTCAGTAATATTTTATTATTTTAACAAAAATAATAATCTTACATTACGGCTAAAAAAACTAAATACAACAATACAACATTCCATAATATATTAAATAATATTATATTCTAATAATCTTATTCTCAAAAATAATACTACAATTTATGAACTAAACGCACCTTAATATGTCCATGTACTTAGCATCGACAGTCGAAAGGTCACATCGAGACTTTTCTTATCACATTCCTTGCATACAACAAACACAAAATAAAGTTTGGGTAAATTAGACCACACATCTTTCAATTATTAGTAAAATTATAAATGAGTTACATAATTTCAAAATGTCATAAGTAAATTACGCAATTAACCGATCGTCAGAAATGAGAAAATAGACCGTTAAAAACAGAACTTAAGAAGATATCTTAGAAAACATTTTCAATGATTCTTTATTAGATAAATTATACGTCAAGTCATTTAATTATTAGCTAAACTACAAATCGATCATCTAATTATTAACAAGATCATAAATAAGTCATCCAATTTCAAAAAGTCATAAATAACTCACTCAATTTAACCAAAAGAATTGAAGATAAATCCATTTCAGGTTTTGGGCTTGGAATCCTATTCCACAATTTTGACTAGTGGAGAGGCTTCCACTGATGAGAGGAAGAACATATCCCGAGTCGAAGCCATGTGAAATCGAAGTGAATCTTATGGTGAATTTTTATGTTCATCAGTCATTGTATATGATAACCGACTATAGTCAGCGTGATTACACGTAACTTGATTTTTACAATCAATTAATTAAGTTACTTGATCGTTACATCAATTAATTGAGTGACTTAATTGTAACTATTTAAAATTTAATTTTTTTAATAAATAAAACATTGGATAAATTACACCATGTGTAACTCGGTTATTAGTATGATTACAAATGGATCATCGAATTTCAAAAAGTTACAAACATATCACTTAATTGATTGTTACATGATTAATAATCAAATCATTTCATGGCAGAATGACATGATTGTAACACATGATTAATCTCTTTATATTTCACCAGTTGTAATATTTTATTATTTTAATAATTAATCAATAGTATATCAATTGAATATAATTAACCATTAATAGATAAATTGAGTCTATTTTAGATCTTATCGATGGTGAAATTCATTTACCATAACTCATTCATTTCATTGCCACCGTGCTGATTAGTCGTTTTAGCACGAAATTCTATCGTCTCGAACATTACCATTTTAGGTTGAGTAATTTTGTTTTACCGGTGTTCAACCTTTACTGTTAAATTATTTTACCTTTTGTGTGTTGGTGCCTTAAATGGAAAAATTTCAATTTCAACCCTTTAAAATGTGAAGTTATAAAATTAAGATACTAGTAAAATTATAAATTAGCTTCTCGATTATAAAATTTCACCTTGGGTGGGTGACATATTTTTTTCTTTTTTCTTTTTAATAAGAGGGTGAGAGATTATCTAAAATCAAAGTCGAAATTTAATATCATTTAAAATTAAAATGATGTTTATTATTAATACATTATAGAGTCTAAAATTACTTTATCGATATGAATAAATTCAAAATATGGAGATTAGACTGTCAAATCCAAGCAGCTAAAGTATCATATACAAGGGAGTAGATGAAAATAAGTGATCACATTGATATTGAATTAACTCAACCTAATTCTTTAAATGTAAGCTCATGGTAGGTAAAGACATCCACGAGTATAGTTGAGTATTACTAGCTATGAACATTGTTGAATACTATTAATTTAATTTATAAAAAATTAAAATTTTAAAGGACTCAATATATAATTATAAATTAGTTAAAAATGAAATATTAATTACATTATGTTTCATATTTTTTAACAATAATTGGGTCAAATATCAATCCTAAATTAAAAAACCCTAAATATTTTTTGCTTTGTTTAAATAATTTATCTATATATTTTTAATTAATTTATAATTATACGTTGAGTCATTTAGACTTTTAAATTTTTATAAATTAAATTAATGGTGCTCACGGTGCTCATTCATTAGTGGTGCTCAACGGTGTTCGTCGAGCGTCGTAAAATTTTCCTATTATAAATCAATTCAATAATTTATTGAACGGTTTCAGCAATAAAAGAATGTATTATTCTCCTAAAGATTTCAATAATTAGAAATACACTGAATATATATCTTATAATTATATGAAATATTAAAAATAATTCTCAATTTATTTGAATATTCTAAATATTTTATTCAGTGATTTGATGTAGATTTGTTCATTAATTGAGTAGGAGTTAATTGAAAAAATATAATATCTAATAACTGATATAGTTATAGCTTTTATTCTATAAAGTGTAACAATCTAAGAATTTTATCAACAATCAGTTAGTCTAGTGGGACGAGGTACTAAGTCCCTTAAGCAAGGTCAGGGATTCGAGTCATGACGTTTGCGAATGGAGAAAACTGGGTTGGGAGGGTCGCCCTCGCTTCTATAGTACTAGATATCGATTAGTCGGTCAATAAATCAGATATCAATGATTAATTAAAAAAACGAATATTAAGATATTTGTTGACATGGTGCGTATAATAGTAGGCTAGGGAGGGTTAGGTTATTTATAGCATTGATCTCGGCAGTGATAGGGCTGAAGAATGCATGCCAGGGACTATCCAAACTGCAATCTCTTGTCCCCTCAATTAACTCAACTCATTTTCCATGGAAAATGACACTATGGGATCATTTTATTCCATATAATGCTTCCAATCATATTTTTATATTGATTACAAATTATAAATGTTTGAAAATTTTAACGTAAAATATGAATGATGTTTACAATAACTGAAGTTATAAACCTTGTTTCGTTGGAATTATTTATTATACGTTATTAAATAATGATAAATTTAAAAATTATTTTTTAACAATTTAATAACTATTTAGTATAGATTGATAAAATTTAATTTTATCTTTATAACTATTTTATAACTTATAAAACTCTAATGAATTTTTTCTAGTTGCCTTTTTGGTTTTCAAGGCTTCGCCTTGATTAATCCGGACTGATCCGGATCGTACACATGATTTTAGTGGGTGAGTCTCCCAAGGAAGATTTTCTGCATTCATAAAGACTCGAATTTGAATTTTTTTAATATAACCAATTAAGCCGGTATCAAACAAGAAAAACTAATCAATTAAGATATATATATTTTTTTAAAAATATCAATTAAATCTTCAAATTTAAAAGTAAAATAATTAAAGTTGACTAAAAAATTCATATTTAATCGTTAAGTTCTCGTGCTCGATTAAATTCACTAACTTAGTTCATGTATAAATGATTATTGGAAGTAATGAATTGATATTTTAAAAAGTTTGACATAATAATGAAAATTTAAAATCGTTTTTTAAACAAAAACTAAAATGAATAATAGTAAAGAAACCCTAGAGCAAGGGCTGCTTGTGTGTCAAAAAGAAGGTTAGGTACATGTAGAGGTGTAAAAAAAATTTGAATATTCGATTTTTGTAAAAAAAAAATCCGAAATTGAATTTGGGAAAAATCGATTTTTTTAAACCGGATCGGATATTTAAAAATCGTATAGTATAACCGGTTTTGAAAAAAATTGGACGATCGATTTTTTTGCAGGATTAAAAACCGGTTAGAAAAAAAACGGATAAAAAACCGGTTTTTATCCGAAAAAAATCCGGTATGAGGTTTTAAAAAACTAACCGTTAATATAGCTGTTGGGGGGTTTTGTTACCCTTTTTTTGACCTTTTTTTTCCTAGTAAGTCACAATTTTACCACCCTAAACATGTATAAATAGGTTGAAAATGTATTTGGTTGATTACAACTTTCTCAAATCTTATTATACAACACTTAAACCGATTTTTATATCCAGTTTTTTTAAAAACTGATTTTTTCAAACCGAAACCGGTTAAACCATCCGACCCTCCAAACCGGTTAGGATCCGAACCGATTTTTTGATTAGGTGAATAAACCGGATTGATTTTTATCCGATCCAGATCGGGTTTTTTATCTGACTTTGTGCATGTATATGTATATGGCAAACTGACACCCCATCAATAGATTATTATTATATAGAAGTACGTAGACAAGACAGATTTTAAAATTATGCATATTTTTTTATTAAGGTGCGTGCGTTATTATACAAGAAAGGTTTGGATCTCTTAATATTTTTTTCTTTTCATATAAAAAATGATCCAGATGGTGAAACATTCGCCAAATCAAGCATGCTGTTCCAGTAATTATTGTTTTCTTCGAAATCAGTAGCATAATCTGTCCCCACATCAAAGTTCTCGGCATTACAGACAGTTGTCGTATCCACCGAATACCCTTCCAATTCCACGGCGATATCCGGCCACCATGCATTTTCAGGGGAGCAGCCCAACGCTACGTTCAAATCCGTCGTTGAATCCACACATTTCCCATCATTTGTGTTACCAACAAACCCGTCATTTTTGAATCCGACGCACGAGACCGGCAATATGTTCTCGACGAAGTTCAACGTCGAGGTCGGAGATTGGAGGTCGTTGTTGTATTCGGTTGTGTTGAAAGTGAACAAACCACTGACTACGCGTTGCCAAGCTTTGAGCACGTCGAGACACGGTGGCTTAGTTACATGACAAAAATTTTCATTATTCACCGGTGGTGGTGGTGGTGGAGGAGCCGAGGAAGTCGAGATGACGAGCCGTCGTCTTGACTCTCGTACTAATCTAGCTTCAGCTTCTAACCGAGTACGTTCCCATTGAGTCATGTGGATAAGATTAGAGGCATCCTTGGGGTTACCACTGCTCGAACTATCGGTTTTCGGCTTGTGAGTCAAGGGATCGATCCCCATGCTCGACAATCTCTTCTTCAACCGTGTATTCCAGTAGTTCTTGATCTCGTTGTCGGTTCTTTTAGGCAAATGAGACGCGATAACCGACCACCTACACGCATATGTTAAATAATTGGTTGATGCTTTTTAAGGTGGAATTTTAAAGGCAAATCACCTGTTTCCAAGAAGGGCATGAAGTTGAATGATGGTTTGCTCTTCCTGTAAACTGAACTTTCCTCTTTTGATATCTGGTCTCAAGTAGTTAATCCACCTAAGTCTGCAACTTTTTCCACATCTTTGAAGCCCTATACATATACATAAACAAAAAATATATATATATATATATAAATATATATATATATAATAAAATCAAAGTGAAAAACAAGCAAAACATAAGGTAAAGAATGAATAATGACCGGCTTTTGCAGGCAAGGAACGCCAGCTTCCATCGCCGTGCTGTCGAATGCATGACAAGAGTTTTTGGTCTTCTTCTGGAGTCCAAGGCCCTTTCTTCAACCCCATCTTCTGCTTCATGTTCTTTCAAATTAAGCCAAACCCAATCCAAAAATTAATTTTTGTTCCTTTGACGAAAGACAGTGATAAAGAGATGATGATGGTGAGAGTACGAGTTTTTTTTTTACGCAGGAAAAAAGGCAGTGAAAAAGTGGGTAGGGATGGTTTTTTTTCCTATTGTTTTTGAAGGTGGTTGTTATGGTTAATTTAAGTAGCAATATGTGTGCCATTTATAGGATTTTACATAGGATTTTAACCTAATAAGTAGATACGAATCAAGCCACCTCAGTGATAAAAGAATTGTTGTTATTCTTTAAGGTTTTTGGGTTGTATTAGGAATGTAAGGGTGTGAACATTCGATGTCAATTGATGAAGAGTTATCTACGAACAAATACTACCTTGTACTTAAAATATAATAAATAGAATAAACTATATATTTAGTCATTCATTTATTTTCCCGATTATGTTTTAGTCACATAACTATTTTTTAAAATCATATATAACATTATATTTTGATTTTGTTTTGGTTACCTAACTATTTTTTTTCAAAATTGAATCTGACGTTACATTTTGATTCTGTTTTGGTCACCTGTCACTAAAATATAAACATAACTACTAACGTTATAATTTTTATTTTTAATGATAACATGACATTACCTTATGGTAGAGACTAACAAGAGATTTTATGATAGGGGCGAATTTAAACTTATAAAATTTTAGGGAGCGCACTTAAACTTATAAAATTACAGAGAGCGAAAACTGATTTTCAATAGAAAATACATAGAAAAAATCTAAAATATAAGGTAATTTTAAAATTTCAGGGGGTGACTGCCCGTGTAACACCCCAAATTTCGGGTTAGTATTTTCGGATTTACTCGATAGGTAAGTGGACCTCGTGAAATTCTAAATTAAAATCGTTGTGCTTAATTAGGTTGGAATCGGGCCCAATTAACCTCAAAAATGAGATTTTTGAATGGTAGAGAGATGAGAAGGGACCAAAAACATAATTTTACATTTTTTAAAATATAAGAGCTTTATATCTCTCATTTCATCCTCTTCCCTTCATTTCTTCTTCATTTCTCCACTATTCTAATCCTTTGGAGTGTTAAGGCTTTCATAAATATAAAGAATTTGCTAAGATTTAGATATTTGAATATTTTAGGGTTTATCTTTGAATTCATTATTAAATCACATTTTAGGTGTAAATAAGACATTTTTATGCAACTTTATAACCCTAAGTAACTCCCTAAAGGTTTAGCACATGATTAGGAACCAAACTAAGACATTAGAGATGATTTTTAGGTGTTTCTCGAGCCTAAATAAGACATTTCTTGATTTGGGATGAAAATTAGCGATTTCCAACTAGGAGCATCAATACTGTTGGGGAGAATATCGATATTTCCCTTACAATATCGATATTCAGGGTAACATTATTGATATTGGGCTTAAATTTCAGCAACAGAATGCATATTTGGTGTCGATACTCATAGTAGTATCGATACTTAACCCCATGGTATCGTAGAGTATCGATTCTACCCACCTTGGATGTAACACCCCCAACCCGTATCCCAACCCGGATACGAGTCAGAGATATTACATTGACTTTTAAAACACAACTCATTACAAATAATAGTAAAATACTTGAACTTATATTACGAAAAATACAATAATATACATATGGTAATATAAGTTTACCAAAATATTCAGAGCATACACAACTTAACTCTTTAATTACATGCCAACATCCATTTTCATAACAAAATGACCTACTGATTAAGTTGCTTCTGATCTGATAGTTGCAAGAGTAATGTTGTCCAGCCTGCTTAACCTCGATCGTCTACTTTATCGGATCCTACGTGTTAAACACTCACACGCTAAGTCATCGACTTAGTGAGGCAATATAATAATAATATCAATAAATATAAAGTAATTACCAAAATGAGATGGGTTGCAATAATAAGATGTATGTAAACAATGCAATAACCAAAACCATATTTCTTACACATATACTTATCAAATTCACATTCATAAGTTTTCCTTAGTAAGTTCATTAGCCCATGGTACCATACAGAGAACCTAAGGTATGTGAGTATTGTGAGGTTGTGCACTATGTTTGTCACCACAGCTCATATAATTGCACCTAAGTGCCACGTAGAATTGCACCGGAGTGCCGCGTAGAATTGCACCGTAGTGCCATATAATAATGTCCATAAGGACCACATATCATTCCTTAAGAATCATATACATATGCCAAGGATCAAGTATGTGTCTCACCAGACCTCACACATGTTCCAAAGAATACATATATGTCCCGAAGGACCACATATCATTCATTAAGAATCATATACATATACCAAGGATCAAGTATGTGTCTCACCAGACCTCACACATGTTCAAAAGAATACATATATGTCCCGAAGGACCACATAAACCCTCTATCCTTGGCATGCCAACTATACCTATAGTTCTCATTTACATAACATGGGCTTTCACAATTTATCTAATTTATATCACGTTGACATATTATTTTCATACCTTTATCATATAGCTCATATAACTTTTTCTTTCATATTCATGTCCCATAATGCATATGGTATGGATTCATGTCATATATCATCATATGAACTACGACCATGTATCAAAATATTGAATCTAGACTTATCACAAGTCTAGAACTGAATAAAATACATATTCATGCTATGCATATGCACTCACCTAGATTTCTTTGTCTTTCTCTCGATTGATCCTACTTGTCGATGGTTCCGGAACTCGATTAGGCTCAATATCTACATAAGCAAAATTTTCAAGATGATTATCAGATGCCTAAGTCTTGAAATTAACCTCTAATAGCCTACCAATTTAAGGGATTGATAGTTTAGTCTCTCTTCTTTCTTTCTTTTTTTATTATGGGGGAATCGGTTCCCCCCTGGGGGTATCGATTCCCCTCTAGCATTCTGGAAATTCATATTCGTTTGAGGGGGGATCGATTCCCTTTGAATGGGTACCGATTCCCCTAGCCCAGAAATCCCATTTTGAGCTCGAAAATCACCTTATTTCAGCCCAAACCTTCCTATTTCACTTCCTTTAATATTCCTGACTTTAATACACATACTTAAACTTATTTCTACTCCATAATCACTTCTTTAACTCCAAATCTAGTCATTCCTATGTAATTGTAAAAATTATACTAGTTTTGCAACATGTTCAAATTCATATTCTAACACTTCCTATCCCTTAATTAACTTGATGACAAGTCAAATCTCACTTCCAATTCTTATTATGAACTCTAATCTAATATTTCACTTTTCTACTTCTTTTCTTTAATTCTTCATATACTTCTCATCTTGAGGTTTTAAAACAATTTAAACTTCCTTTAAGCTTAACTATTGCCTAATGGTCATGAATCAACCATAAATTCATCAAGAAATTCACTAACAAGATAATCTTACCTTAGCTTGGGTCTCACGTATAAAGAAGAAGAAAGAAGAAGAGGACTCTGAAAGCTTATTTTTAATTTCCTATACTTCTACATGATTAATATAATACTAACCCCAAATAATTATATTACTATAAAAAAAGAGCATTTTGTCCTTCTAATCTTCCTTCTTTATAATTCAATCCTACACAAAATAACTCAAATAAGTCATTGAATTTTTCCATCATTCTACTTTAAATCATCAAATGCTGAAACTTTACAAATTAATCACTAACCCGTCATGGAGGATGTTACAAATCTCCCTCCCTTAAGAAAATTCATACTCGAATTTTTAATAAGAAAATACATGGGGATACTGATTCCTCATATCCTCCTCACGCTCTCATGTTACTTCCTCTACTTTGTGATTCTTCCATAAAACTTTAACCAATGGGATAGTCTTGTTCCTCAATTGCTTAGCCTCATGAGCTAAAATTTGAATCGGTTCTTCCTCATAAGTCAAATCCGATTGTACCTCGATCTCTTCTGGGTTTATGATATGGGAGGGATCCGATCGATATCTCCGAAGCATTGAGACATGGAATACATTGTGAATCTTTTTCATTTCTTGTGTTAAAGTCAATTGGTATGCTACGGGTCCCACTCTTTTTACAATCTCATATGGTCCAATAAACCGGGGACCTAACTTTCCTTTCCGACCAAACCTCAACACATTCTTCCATGAAGATACCTTTAAAAACACTTTATCCCCAACTTCAAATTAAATCTCCTTTCTTTTAAGATCAGAATAGGACTTTTGCCGATCAGAGGCCACTTTGAGGTTATGCTAAATTTCTCGAACTTTCTGTTCTACATCTTGAATTAAATCCGGACTAAGAACACTTCGATCTTTGAGTTCATACCAATTTAATGAAGTACGCCATTTTCTTCCATATAATGCTTCATATGGGGCCATCTTTATACTAGACTGATAACTATTGTTATAAGCGAACTCTACCAGCGGTAAATACTTTTCCCATGATCCTTTGAATTCCATTACGCATGCTCTAAACATATCTTCCAATATCTGAATAGTTCTATCTGATTGCCCATCAGTCTGAGGATGAAAAGCCGTACTAAAGTTTAAACGAGTCCCCAACGCTCCATGCAAAGATTTCCAGAATCTAGAAGTGAATCGAGGGTCTCGATCAGAGACTATGGAAACAGGCACTCCATGCAATCTAATAACTTCTCTAATATACAGCTCTGCATACTTTTCCATAGAGAAATCCGTTCTAACCGGAAGGAAATGCGCTGACTTAGTTAATCGATCAACAATTACCCAGATTGATTCTCTTTTGTTCGGAGTCAAGGGTAACCCTGAAACAAAATTCATCGTAACATTTTCCTATTTCCATTGAGGAATGAAAAGTGGTTGCAATAATCCTGACGGAACTTGATGCTCAGCTTTGACTTGTTGACATATCAAAAACTTAGACACAAATTCGGTCATGCTTCGTTTCATCCATGACCACCAAAATCGATCCTTCAAATCCATATACATCTTGGTTCCACCCGGGTGCATCGTTAACGGACTGCAATGAGC